TAGTTAGTGAGTTATGTTCCTATAGTCACTCATATACTTGTTCTTCTGTTTGTTCATCATTTCTGTCCGCAGTCCAATAATAACCTCACAGTAAGCTGGTTGAGGTTATGAATGATATTTGTGTATAAGACTATAGCCAGACAGAAGTGAAACTGTGGCTGTTTAAAGGTTAGAAAGGACCTAAACTACACGCTATGCTAGAGATGTTAGATGTTAACATATGTAAATGTCCTACAGCTGACCCAGAGGAAAGGTTAGGCAGCTTTATATGTACATCTCTGTGAAAGTGGATGAAACGTCCAAACCACCTCTGCTGCCTGTAGACCTAATCCATGACTGTATGAATGTAAACTCCTGCTGCTGATTGTAAAGTTAAAGTCTTGGCAGTGTGAACAGTTTAATACCTGATGGGTATTCATCTGTCTGTCTGTCTGTCTGAGAGAAACATCTGGGAGTTGGTTGGGCACTGAGACTCTGCTGTCACACAGAGAACATGATCCTCTGATGTGCAATGCATACATTTTATTGCAGGACTCACTCGCTGCACAAGGAAGCGGCTGCTGACAGCTAGTTTGACATCGCCTATCTCATGTGGTGGTTATAAATAACTAGTGAACATGTTGTTCAGTTTGTTGCAACAGCAGCAGTGTGTGTGTGTGTGTGGTGGGCAGGGGTTCCCTCCTTATTATTGAGACATAGGATATAGTTAATGACAGATCACATGTTATAAGACAAGGGAGAGACAGGAGCAGATAGATATGAGACTGGGCCTTTTACATCATTTAAATATAAGTGTAAAGAAAACCCCAATAAAGACCCCGCAGGTCACCGTCTGTACATTTGTGGACTCGTGTCGTGACAGCTGTAAAACATCTTCAGACAAATAACCACACAGCACACTTTGTCATAAGCCATCACCTCACTGTATTTACCTCGGCTCTCTCGGAGCGCTAACACTGTCCTGATCACGCTGAAGGAGATATATTTACAACTAGGAGCAGCGTGTCTGACTGATCCTGACCTGGCGAGGTGAGGTGAGGTGAGGGATGTTGGGGGATTATTGTTACCAGCAGCTTGTGGTAATGTCATTATAGAGAAGAGGTCTGCCCACTGGAAGACAAACAGAGGGGCTTTGTGTAAAGTGGGCTGATCTGTTGGAAAGAATCCACACATACTGAAGTTTTAACAGAATGTAAGTGAAAATAAAAAGTGGTTAGAGTCTCTGGATCGAAAACAGGAACAAGGGAAGTGACTTCTCCCCACATTTACATTTATAGTGCCACTATACTAGTCAGAATAAGGGTCAGTAGTACATTATATTTTCCAAACTAACTTCAGTCATGTTGGTTTAGTGTTATCTGAGATATCTCTGTTGCAAATGTGAACCGTCTCTTGCTCATAAATTATTGAATGCAGTTTCTTTTGTAAACCCTGGTGACCTTAGCTGCTCTTGTGAAGCTGCTGTCTGTGGTCGAACTGTACAGTCTGTACGGGAATGTGAAGCTGCACAAACTGAACAACATCCTAATAGTCTAGTACACACAGACATAATCAGTTTCTTAAAAACAAAATAATAATAAAAATACTTTATGTTATATAAGATAAGATGTTGCAGTAAGGGAGGAGCACTCGTGTTTACTTCTGTTTTATAAAGACAAGCCAGTACATAAATATTCATTGTTGAAGTTACTGAATGGCAGAAAGCAAATAAACATTGCCACATTATACACATCGTATCTCTGACGATTACCTTTCTCCCAGTAACCTTTGTCATTCATTCACCATGTTAAAAGGTCTCTCAGTCTGTGTTTTGGGACATAAAACTGCTTGATTTACACACACTGTGCTCTTCCGTGCAAGGTCATTATAAAAAGATAACAATAAAGATAAGATCATATTCAGCAATAAAGCAGGCAGAATTGGCCAGTCAGAGCTACCCTGCAAAGAAAGATAGAAAGATATAAATGTGCTTACTGGTAAGGCTACGTCACTTATTGTTGTGTGTGTTTATCTCCTTGTTTATGTCTGTTTCGTCCTGTGTAATGTTGAATTTGCTGATGACGTTGTTGTGTCTTATTTCTGTCTCCACAGTTATGACATGGTGCACTACGGTCACTCCAACCAGCTGCGGCAGGCCAAAGCAATGGGAGATTACCTCATAGTTGGAGTGCACACAGATGGTAAGGCTGACACACACACACACACACACACTGTGATATGGATGTTTCTGTGAGACCTTTTTGTAATCAACTCTCATGACACTGATGTGATATGACACTGACACTGAGTTCTCTGATGCAGTCACATCCAATTATTATTTATGTCTAATTAAATTCAAACCAACACAACTGTGTAGCTACAAAGACATCGCTGTCTTGTAAGCTTCTCAATCACAAAACGGTTAACCAGCCGTCAAATGTCAATGGCTACATTTCTGAAGTCACATTTATACATGCAATGATACAAGCGGTACATACATACAACACGTGAAGTTTTAAAGCTCAGTGAATATGTTGAGGCAAGAGGCTTAAACAAAGTCCTCCCCAAATTAAAGATGATATGAATATTTGTACGGTAGCCGTGTAGGAACTGATAAAAAGTAACTACTGAAAGTGATGACCACCATATGCATTATTCATCACTTACTAGTGGCCTTATGCGGTCGGCCCATTTTTTTTGATTGTTGGTTTGTCTCTTAACGTCCGTTTGTACTGCTGGCTGTTGTCAACACAAGTAAAGAGTCACAGCCCGGATGGTTTACACAGACTACTGTTAACCAGCTCAAGTATTGTGTTGCTTCTATGGGGAAAAGAGATACTGACTTATCGATATGATGAGGATGCAGGTTAAAGAAGTTCACAGCCAGACAAAAGTATGTAAAAAATACTTTTCTGTTAGCATCGAGATGGCTAGCGTTAGAGTCATTTATTGTAGATTCAGCGATAACCTTCATGTTTGAGCCTCAGTCAGACTCAAACGAGGAGCCTGTTGTTGACCACAATCTGTGACTAGCAGACGTATCGTATTACGTACCAAATCGGTGCACGGATAAAATTCAGTAAAGTCAAGGTCAGATATTTTAGGGAACATAAAAAAAACATTTGGAGTGGAGAGGATCTGTAAGTAATTGACATCATTTCCATTCTTAACAAACAACATTAAATCAGGTGATTTGACAACGTGAAGTAAAACACATCTTTTCAACATCCTATGTAATATAATATACCTTTATTTGTAATATGATCTGCAATAATTATCTTGTAACACAATAAAAAGCCCATGTCTTGTGTGTAATAATGTAACTAATCAGATGAGTCTCTGCTCTGCGCTCTTTTTGCAATGTTAGTGTTGTGCCAATAATTAACAATAGATCACCTCTTACTTCTCTCAAAGCTGAGATTTCCAAGCATAAGGGTCCTCCGGTCTTCACTCAAGAAGAGCGCTACAAGATGGTGCGGGCCATCAAGTGGGTGGATGAGATAGTAGAAGGAGCGCCTTACGTCACCACCCTGGAGACTCTGGACAAGTACAACTGTGACTTCTGTGTGCACGGAGGTGAATCCTGTTTCCTGTCATGTCTCATTTCTGTGGAAGAGTCCTTCTCAGTGATGCACATGATGTGAACAAGCCTCCAGATGTGATGATGGACTAATGTCATTGTTTATGTGTACCAGACGACATCACGCTGACGGTAGATGGTAAGGACACATATGAAGAGGTGAAGCGCGAAGGCCGTTACCGGGAATGTAAGCGCACGCAGGGCGTCTCCACCACTGACCTGGTGGGACGAATGCTGCTCATGACCAAAGCCCATCACAGCAACATGGTGAGTAAAGCTGCATATTTATTGACACAAAACAGATGTATTGTGTGTGATCAAGCCTTATTGTGCATTGATTACATTCCCTACAGTATTTGTGCTTACACTCTTTAATTTACCTTTAATTTATTTTAGAGTGATGGTGAGCGGTTTTTCTTCTTGTTCCTACAGTTGGATGTTTGAGCTTCACTGTGCAGAATAATGTATGTGCAGTGTTTGACAACCTGAATTTAAGGAGTGGGGCTTATGAGCATAACAAATACTCTGGAAGTTAATTCTTGTCCAGGATGCAACTGCAAGTGTGATGTAGGAAGTTGAAACCACCAGTGCACATACACTGAGAGTGGACTTTACAGTGAAGTAAATCTTGTGTCCAGCAGGAAAACTTGAAAAAATTAACAACATTTGCATAACCATAGTAATTCATAGAGGCAGAAGGTGCCTTTTAAAGGATTTTAATGTGGAAATTATACTTGTACATATTTACAACGTTGTTTACTTTGTTTGAAAAACACAAAGCAGACACTTTGTATATGCCTTAATACGTGTCTGAGGGGATCTTTAAAGGTCAACTAACAGCTATGTGTGTAGGCTTTATAGTGCAATCCCTTAACCCGCAACTATAAATCCCCCTGCAGTGTCTGGATGTGTGTAATAACTATTTAATATATTAGCAATGGGTTATTTGTTTGTTTTGCTGTTGGTCTTATCTTTTCCTCTAATCATTTCTGCAGGATAACCCAGATTACCAGCAGCATACAGACAACTTTGGAAAAGTAAGTAGCATGATTTTTAAGTGAAACCATGTCCTGATTATTAAGGATATCTGTTAGGACACCACCTAGACTTTATTACATTTTTCCAGTGAAATATATATTCATGTGTCTTTTCTTGTGTTCAAGGGTCCTAAAGGCCACAGTCCATGGACAGGAGTGTCTCAGTTCCTCCAGACGTCCCAGAAGATCATCCAGTTTGCCTCAGGAACGGAGCCTCAACCCGGAGACACCATCATCTATGTGGCCGGGGCATTCGACCTCTTCCGTATCCTTTTCATTCAGAGATAACCAGAACTGAAGTATGAACTAGAGATCATTTGATCATTTCTGTGGTGCATGCGATCGTTGTTGCCTTGACCACAAATTCCCTGCAGACATTGGCCATGTTGACTTCTTAGAGATGGTCTATAAGCAGGCGGAGAGGCCCTACGTCATTGTAGGTCTGCACTTTGACCAGGTATGCCTAATTACAAACATGCACTCACACACACACACACACACACACATCTTGGCAAAACAGTCAAAAAAGGGTGAGAAATTCACTCCTGTCAGCAGTTTTCAAGAGAAACATTTGGAACAAGTCAACGCAAAAGCAGCTCAGACTTTTATGGTTAGACAAGAGAGAAGCCCGTCCTAACTGTTTGCAATTATGGTGGTCTAGGAATGTAAGATTGAGTAAATGTCAAAAGGGTAAAATGAATTATCTCTTCATTCTCTTCAGGAAGTGAATCGGTACAAGGGGAAGAACTATCCAATCATGAACATCCACGAGAGAACGCTGAGTGTCCTGGCCTGTCGGGTGAGAAAACACACACACACACACAGCACAGTGGTGTGTATCTTGAATCCTCACAGCGCTGCGGGCTGCACTTGGCTCTGTACCCTCCATTCCTCCTGGTCAGCTATCAGTCTAGAACAATGATTCTCTGTGCCCCCATCTGCACTGTGTGTGTCTTGTTAGAACAGTACACAAACCAAACATATTACACAATCCTAAAACTGTTGCTGTGCTCAGAGTTACTCAATGTCTGTTGACAAGGCAGAGAATTATCCAAAATCTAAGGAGAGAACATTAACACCTTCACCCTTGACTTGTCTGGTATCCCAACGATGCTTATCAGATAAACTTTGATATTTAAACTGAAATGCTCTAACTGATGTAAAAGTTGAATCAGTAAAAAACCACTTGTGACTATGAACTTTCCCTTGCTCTTCTCTTGCCTGTCTCTCTATAGTATGTGTCAGAGGTGGTGATTGGAGCACCCTATGCAGTGGGCAAAGACCTGCTGGATCATTTTAAGGTGAGTTGCTTTTGTATGACTTTACGTCTGATCATGTGTTTTCAGTCCTTAAACTGTCCGTGACTTTGAGTTCATCGTCTGTAATTTCAGACTTCTTTTTGTGGTTCAAACCAAGCAGATGTAGTTGCCCACATGAGAGCTTTTACCAAACATGCAGACGGAACTTTGACATCCATGGTGTATGAAAACACGAAAGTGAAAAAATGAAGGAGGATGGCCAGCACATTTTCAAATATAACACAATGATGTGTAAATTACAGACAGTGAATTGTGAGTTTTAAGGCACAATTTTAGGCAAAGTATGTAGTAAATTGGTGGAGGAATTAGTTCATCTACAAAATATAGTACCAGCAAAAAATGTCACCTACTCGTCTTTTGTTGGCTAAAAATATAGAACAGGACTTGTTCCTGAAGTAGAAACCCAGTTTATTAAGCTGTTATCCAGTATGAACACTAAGCATTTAATTTAAAACTAGTTTCAGCTCAGAGTTTTGACAGAATTAGATCAAAAACAGACTAAAGATTACTAAAAGCCTTTGACAGTGTAGGACAGAACAAAGGATCACTGTATGGTCGCTGCATTTGAAACATTGCTTCTAATTTAATTTATGTCGAATTTATTAAAAAGGCCCAATGTGCAGCCATGTAGCGCCCCCTTGTGGACAGTTGAAATACCAAAGAACAAACATAATCTTGACCATATTAAGATCCATTAGCAGGTAGTTAATGCCCCAGCCTTTTTCTTTATTGTGATCCACAGTTTTAGTTTCAGGTAAATGCGTTAAAAAAAGGTGCTCCATGATTCCATAATTTTCTTATTTTGTTACTGACATACTATAAGTGACCCTACATAGACTAGTGTAGATGAGAAATGAGTGTAAATAAAAAAGATTAAGTTAATAACAGGTTTAAGTTGGCTAAACTGAGCGCAGACATACGGCTCCTCTGTGGCACACACTGACACTGAGATACACTTGCATACTGAATTCATATCTCTGCACAGGATGGGTGGATTAACCAGGTGTGTGTTTGTGTAACTGTACAGGTGGACCTGGTGTGTCATGGCAAGACGGAGGTGTTTCCAGACAAGGATGGGTCAGACCCCTACGCTGTGAGTACAGGCTCTTCTTATCTCTGATCAAAGTGCAGCAACATTATAATGCATTTATATATGTGTTTATTATAATAATATTATAATATTTGAGATTATTTTAAGGACATATATTCTGTTGGTCTGATTCATACCAAGGCAGCGTTATTGGCGATAAGTACACAAAATGGACCCCCAATATTCTAACAGCAATTGGCACGTATCCCTAAAACGGCTTTATGTGGTGGGTTTTTGGTCACTGCTCAGGGCGCTCAGTGGAGCCTTCACCTGATCCATTATCTGCTTGTGCTAGGACACTATGTCACACATACATCACTTACTTATCAGACTTCTCTGAGTTAGGGCTAAAATGTGTGACAAAACAGCATTTTAATAAAGTACTGTAGTGCTGATGCCCTGGCCTACAAATCTTGTTCTCCAGATGTTAGAAAAAATGTTTATTTGGTACAGACCCCAATTTCCACTATTCATGAATCAAATCGTAATCGTATTATCTGTCAAAATAATGGCAATGTGATTTCATTTTAGCATATCGTGCAGCACTATTCTGAGTGTGTATCTTAGTAACCTACACAAACACACAACAATAAGCAGAGGAGAAATGGGGCAAATACAAATACCACAACGTAATTTGAGGTTAAATTACATTAACGTGGCAAGTGTTCTTGATAGTAACAAGATTTCATCAAAAACTGGAAGTGTTTTCAGTGCCACAATTCAAATGCTTAGGTCTTTTATAAATAAGGAAATTAGACATAACTGCTAGCATGCTATGAGTGCTAGAATGGGTGACAAAGTGTAGTCTTAAAAGATGGGTTTTCATCACTGTAGAGGCAGAACAGAGATTGTCTGTGCAGTTCAATCTGAAAATAAGAATTTTGAAACTATCTGTGTCTGCACTCTGTGGTCACTCCTGGACTGGTCATTGAAGATCCTTAAGTTGTTGCCCAAGACCTTATCAGTTACAATACATTATTGGTTAAAAGCTGACAACCCTGTTTATTAGCATTATCAGTTGCATTAATTTGATGTACTGATTTCTGCCCTCAGGAGCCTAGGAAGAGGGGGGTATTCAAGACCATCAATAGTGGGAACAATCTCACCACTGATGACATTGTCCAGAGGATAATTGAAAACAGGTCAGGCACTTCCTCATCATCTCATCATCATTTCATTTCTCATTTTGATTGATTGGATCATTTCATTGATTCATTGTTTTTTATCTCAAGCCTGTTCATGTCATCTTAATGTACTCCCAGGCTGCAGTTTGAAGCCAGGAACCAAAAGAAGGAGGCCAAGGAGATGGCGGTGATCGAGGCGATGAAGAGGAAAGAACAGCAGGACCAAAGTGAAGCTGCAGCCCAGGCTGCTCACTAGTTAGACCTCAGACCTTGTTCTGTGTCTTCCGCATCCTGGTACACACAGCTTTAAGAGAGTGGACACAACTGACCCAGATGGATGGTCCATGTTGTCCTAAACTGGACCTGGCTGGGTGAAACAACCCAGGAGGAGGGCAGTCAGTCTCTACCAGTCAACAGTGTGTCATACACGCTGCTAGTTTAGCTTCTCTCTGTCTTCACTTATACAGACTACTCCAGCCTAGAATACATCTGCCTCGACAAGAACACAAAGAATCCGAACACGTAACATGCTACCATTCAACCTGCAAAGTCCCCTCAAACCCCTCATTCTCCACAGAGAACTTTTAATGTTATCTTCTCTCATGTATTGTTTTTGTCACGGAAATCACACACTACATGTTCCGGTATAGACGTAGAAGGGGTATATTAAATTTGTAATAAGCCATAACTTAATGTCTGTAATATTTTTAGATTTTAAAGCATATTTTAATGATCAGTCTTAGTGTCATCAGTAACATTTTTAATACACTCAGAAAACGTAGATGTATTTTCATCACTCTCACTATATTTTTGTCCAATCTGAAAAAATGTTATTAGTACATTTAATGACCTGTGATGTAGTCTTTTAATTTTAACTGTGGATTTTAACTACCAGAATTTGCACCGTGTGTGTGTGTGTGCGTGCGTGTGAGAGAGAGAGAGAGAGTGAGGTAAGTGAGTATGTGCGCTGTAAAAGACAGTAGTGCCTCATTCCCAAAGCTATCCTGTAACTAATGTAAGGGCTGTGAATTGTATAAAAAAAAATCTATACCAGAGTGTCTCTGCATTTCTCGCTAAAGTTGTATTTCTTTCCTTAGTCTGCTTTCAAGAAATTAAAACTAGAAAGTCTTTTCTCCTTCTGACTGTCAAACTGCTTCTGCAACTCTTTATAGATTGCAGAAGGTCACTCTGTTGCTTCTCCTGTTGAATGGGGCATAGCACCTGGAGGTGAATTGTTATTGCTGCGTTTGTAAATTGTGTCTGTGGGCTGGAAGGCTGAGAAATAAATACATTTCTAAATGTCAGATGGTGGGGATTTTCACAACCTTTCAATCAATGTATCACAATGTGTAAATTCCCACTTTAAATAAAATAAACTGGTAATATGGCAGAGTGTCGTCTGATGTCTGTTTTACAGCAGCAGTGTAATGTGTGCAGCCTGATGACAGAGATCTTTGTTGGATCAGCACATATTCACGGTTCACTGAGTCAGTGAAATGAGGCCGCAGCCGCTCAGAAAACTGCTAAATCCAAGCGGTCCTGTTCATTGACGCTGCTCTCAGATTTGAACAAAAACTGCAAACCGTCATTACAAACACAAAGAGCCTTTAATCCGCCAGCCTGAGCACCCCAGAGGAGCTTTTGCAGGAAGGATCCTATCACTCAGCTGAGAGACATTACAGGCCACAGTCTTTTTCCTGTTTGGACTGATCCTGAAACATTAAGATCTCACTCTCCACATACATTAGGTGTGAAGACAAACATTTAGGGGCCTCTCAAGTGCCCACAGGAGACCCATTTGCCAACTACTGCAGTAAGACAAGAGATAAAGATAGACTGCCTACGGCAGCTCAAGATACCACACAAAGAGTGATAGATAAGAAAATACATATAAAATGAATATTTTAGGTGTTAGCGTTGGACATTCAGGTGTCAGACTAATGAGAGAAATCACTGTAATAATGACATTTAAATATTGTTTTGGTGAGCATTACCTTTGTTATTTGCTTCCCAAAGTTAGTCAGTTAGGATTAAACGATAGGAAAGTAAAAAAGATTGTTCTTTTAATTTAATTCTTTTAATCTTTAACTAGTGCTTTTTAATTGTGAAACGCTTTCACCTCTTCAGGCCTGTAAAACTCCTCCACATAAGTCAAATCCTAGAACTAGTGAACACTGGTTAAATACCTCATTATTACCCACTCACTACCTGTTCAACGTTATCACTATATAGGTGGATTTTGGTGACCTCACATGGCTGTAACTGTAACACACACACAGAGTGACCTGAGCAGCTATGTATAATAATGCCATATATTATATAAACTGAGTATGTGTTTTGTTTTTATAATCAAATCAAATATAACTGCGCGTAATGGAGTAAATGTACTCAGCCACTGGTGGAAGTACAGGTGATATGTTTAGTTTTCTGAGCACGCACAGGTGAAACACAGGGATTTACGCACTCAGCAGTTTTGTCCCCGGCACGTCACTTCCCTGGGAAGTCCAAAAACTTTTCCATCTGAGCAGCAGGCTTCAGAGGGAGGAGGAGGAGGAGGCGCTTTTCGGGATTATCTGGGGTCTTTGCCAAGGCGGTAGAGCAGAGTTTGAACCGCCGTGGCGCACTGTGACATAAACAGTTCGGTGGAGGACAGTCGCTGAAAAGTTACCACCCCTTAAAATCTGCGACAGACAACGAAACAAACAAACAAACAAACACTTGGAGCGATGCGTAAAATCTGTTCCGTCCGAACGGTTTGACCCACAACCTCTGCGAGTTTGAGGGATGTTTTGGAGATGGCCTGAACTTTATTTTTTCTAGAGACTTCTCTGCACAGTAACCCTGCGGTTTGCGGAGCAGCAGGAGAGCTCGGAGCATGCAGGCTGTAGAAACAAACTCGGGTTGATCCCAGTCTGGACTGTTGTTTTCCTCTCAGGCCGGGCGGTCGGGGAGGAGATGAGTGCTGAGGATGGGACTGTGCCTCGGAAACGAAGTCACAGAGGAGAAGAAGGCGAGGATTCACAGCGCCAAGATAGACAGAGACCTGTACGAGTACGCCAAACGGGAGATGAATGTGGTTAAAATACTCCTACTAGGTGAGACATGATACTGATATGAACTCACCTTACCCTTACCTGAAAGTGAAGTTTGTGTACACAGTATAAGAACTGCACCTGTGTCCCCCGGTGGATCTTCTCCAGTAGATGGTATGAAAAAAGTCCCTGTAAAGGTCCCTGCACAGGCTGGAAGTTTACAATGGTTTTTGGTTGAGACAGACTCATAAATCCTCTCTAGAAGCCACTGTTTAATTTAAACCTTTGCAGATTCAAGTATAAAATCTGACCACAGATGTATACATGCAGGTTTATTATGTTTCTTTTCTAACATATTTTAAAAAAGACCCAGTTTAACCAGCGTTTACAACCTTCTCCAGGTGCAGCGGAGAGCGGTAAAAGCACCTTGGTCAAACAGATGAAGATCATCCACAGTAATGGATTCGCCAAGCAAGAGCTCATCAGCTTCAAGGTTGGAAACACACACACACACACACACACACTCACACACACACACTTAGACTACAGCGTGGTTCACCCTACCTGAGGTTTTTATCAGATAACAGTCTATTAGCATACAGCGATCTTGCTGTTATGGTTCCCAGTTGAAGAGAGTTGGATAACAATCACATGTCTCCTGGGAAGTTGCACAAAACTGATCAATATGTCATTTGTTCAGATTTAGGTTATCAGTTTCAGGTAAGAGCCTGAGTCCAATAGAGGAAGTCAAGAGGTCGGTTTATGCTGCAGGCTCGACTAAAATGAAATGGAGGCGATGGTTAGTTCCTGTGGGGGAATGAGATTTCTCATGATACCCAGGGTCAGATCCAAGTTGGTATTCTGTGGTTTGGCTCGCATCTGCTCTTCCTTCTGTGTGTGTGTGTGTGTGAGCGACTGAAAGCCAAATTCCTCCAGTGTACGAGGGGTAGGGATGGGGTGGGGAGAATGGAAACGGTTCAACACACAGAAACACACACACCAGTTTCACCCCATCAGCTTGTTTTTACTGAAGTCTTATCTTCCTCCACACCCCCTCCTTAAACCTCTTCCCATATTTTTTACCCTCCTCTTCGTCCTTCCCTTTCCCCTTTGCTATTCTGTATCTTTTCCTCTGTTTCTGTCTCTACCTCCTCCTTTCTGTTACTCATAATGAGTATGTGATGACAGTAAAGGCCTTTCTCTGCCTCGATCATGCGTCAGGTACCGTACCTGCTCTCTGTCTCCCAGCCCTGTCAGAGCAAACTTAAACATAAATAAAGATGGTTGGGTATGAACCCACCTCAACACAATTCATATGCTTTTGAGTTTGTGAAACATCACACTGAAAACTGCTACTAGAGTTCAAACCAAAAATGACTTTATATTATTGAGATCTATGTATAGGTACGGCCCGGGTGTATGTGCAACAGATAATATCTGTGTCTTTGAAATATGCAAAACACTGTCAAGCTTCGTCAAATCTTTGGCAGTTGCTCATAGGCCAGGATATTGCACTCTCACACTGATATGAAGGTCCCAGTTGTTTGTTCAGGCAGCTGGGATGTTTGAATGCATTCCTAGATATTAAAGACGCCTCAGCTCTTTCTCTGAGCTCCTCTCTCCTGCTGCCTCTCGTGTCTCATAGCAGTCACCTCGTCTGCAGTTCACTCCTGTCAACACAAGCACCATACTTTCTGTTATTGGACTGTGCTGGAGAAAGAAACATAACCCCTGAGCAGGTAAATTTATGCTTTTAGGCTGGATATCAAATCTCAAAACTTTTTTAGTACTGAATGAAATGTGTGAAGAAAGTTGGCATCCAATGTCTGATCTTTATACTCATGTTACCTTTGTTTTTGATCAGATAGTTCCCAATTTGAATTAAACTTCAGACAGTCTTAGACTGTATTTTATTAAGGAAAATTTCTTGTACAGCTACTTGTATGACACCATTTAACATTTGAGATCGGAAGCTTCTTTAAATAATCTGGTTTTGTAGAATAAAAACTAAATGAATTTATCAAAAAAAGTGTCTTTATATCAGTACAAAAACTCACTATATTCCCACTAGTATCAAACAAGACTAAGGTTCCAGTACCCATACTATTTAGTATGCCATTAAAACATTCAGTCCCAATCGTTGTATATCAAATGCAGTATGCCAGAAGATACTAGGATGTGCTACTGCATCCAGTCACAATTTACAGTATGTAAGCCAGCGTGCTCGTCTGGCTATTCTGATCCAGTGTCCTCTGCACTGACCAAGCACAGACAGATAACAGACAATCCCAATGCATATGTTATTTTACTGTCAAGAATGTAATAAGATAAGATAAGATATTCCTTTATTTGTCCCACAATGGGGAAATTCTGATGTTGCAGCATCAAAGTGG